AGCTGAGAAGATAATGAGATTCATTATAACGCCCATTCTCGTTGACTTCTATCTACTTTTGAAGACCTACAATATCTCCAATGTTTTGGTTTTGTCGGTTTTATCCTTTATGGTTTTGTTCAATAGTATTACAACTAATGATATAGGCAATTCTATTAGAAATAGCGGGAGGCATTAGGGTAACCATTGTTGATCACCTTGTATTATGTTTTTATATTATCTATTATATCCACCCTTTTGACTTGACCGATTCTGTTCTGTTATGTCACATTTGGTTTTACTCTCTTCCAAAAAAGCAATAAGAACAGTGGGAGCAATGAAACCCAAAAGGTGTAATAGTCACTGTACAAAAGAGAGGAAAAGAAAATGCTCTAAACTATATAACTGCATGTATATTTAAATGTATAAGACAGAAAATGACATCACAGAGTTCTAATGGATCATTGAACAGAACTGTTTGCAGTATCATTGCTGGAATGTCCACTCTACAAACTTTAATTCTGTGACTTGAACAATTATTTCTAAGATGGCAATATGTAATCTATTAACTAGTGATTTCCTACTGCGCATTTTTTTCTTCTGTAAATCTGTATAACTTGTACCCTTCACTGTTTTTTTTATCTTTTCTTTTCTCCTTAAATAAAAATAAAAAAAAAAAAAAAAAAAAAAAGAACAGAGGAGGCAGGGGTGCAGGGGGTGATGGAATGTGAAGTGCCTAGAAACGGGAAAGGCTAAAGAAGAGCCAAGAGGAGAGGACAACTTCCTGGCTCCCAGTTTGAGTATCTGAGACAATGAAGAGAATTTTTCTTTTTCTTTCTCTTGTTAAGATTGCTCCTGTTCTTCTACTTTGGACTGTCCTTGGAACTAAGGGGTTGGCCTTTGGGGAAACTGTCCCTGCGGCCCGTTTCCATCCCTAACAAAATGCTAATAGAATTCTCAGCCCCTCAGCCTGAGGCTATGTGATGTGGGTAAGACTGTGCCATGCAGCAGAGGAAAGCTGGTGCCAGGACCTGCTGGATCTGATGTTTGCAACAGAATTCCAGCCAGCAGGGCTCAAGGGACCCAACAGCCACAGTTATTTAATGGACCCACTTCTCTTTACAGAGCAGGAGGCTGAATGAGAGTGACTTCCCCCAAGGTCACACAGCCAGCCAATAGCAAACTAGGACTAGCACCCGGCTTGTTGGGTCTTAACAATCCGGTGCTCCTTATTGTGTTAGCTGCTCTGTGACTATCATTTTAGAGAAATGGGGAATTTTATTGAAATGATACGTTCTCTGTGGGTTTTCCACAAAGCATCCTTCCTCATACTCCTTATGGGAAATCAATACTAATTCAAGTTTTTTTAAATCCTGTGTTTATTTGTGACTTCTATAATGACTGGCTTATCACCTCATTTTTATTCCAACCATCACAGAATTTATTTCCAATCACGTTGTCTTGACTGAGCTCTGAGATCTCTGCTTTTCCCAACCATATTTCCTCATTACCTTGTCAAGGCATGGAACAAATATGACACCTTTCTCCTTTGAAGCAAACTTATTAAAATTCATAATTTGTAAGCTAATTAGAAAGAGAGGAATGGAAGTAAGAAAAAATAGGATGCATATACTAAGCGCCCAATGAATATTTAAGAATAGATGAAGATGAAAGAAGGAAACAAGGACAAGAATGAGAAAATAGCTTTTGATGGAAAAAAGGGGGAGAATATTTTCATTAATTAAGAGTGGGAAGGGCCAGGGTGGTTCTAGGGAACTCCCCATGTCCCATCCCACTAGGCTGGTTCCCAGGCAGGCTCCTAAGAAGCCCAGCCCTTCAGCCAAACATGCTGTGACTGATTAGGGAAACTCATTGATACTGGGTTTGCCTTGCATTATGCCAGTCTCAGAAGTAATCAGATCTCTGATCCATTGTCCTACTAAATAAATACCTGGGAAAGAGATCAGAGACTCTTTTGTTCTTCCAAGGGAAGAAATACAAACTATCCCAGGTGTTTTGTTTTGTTTTGTTTTGTTTTGTTTTGTTTTGTTTTGGTGTGTGTGTGTGTGTGTCCACGTGTATGTGGTTGAGTCCAGGTCTTGTTGTGGTCTAGGCTAGCCTAGGACTCATTACATAGCTCAGTTCATCCCCAAACTCATGATCCTGCTGCCTTAGTCTCCCAGGGTTCTGGGACTGCAGGCATATGACCCCATACCTGGCCTCTAGGTGTTTATTTCACTTGTCCACAGATCCTTCCTTGTTCTGAATGGGGGTGCCTGGCAGTGTCCCCATCTGCTTCTGGCCTGTGCTGCTCAGGGATGCATTATGAGCTTTGTCATCTTCACATCTCTCCAATACCAAGGCTGCTTTAGCTAGACCTAGGTTTACCTATTATCTGGGGTAAAACAAATGAGTGAGTCCCAAATAGGTAACATCGGCAAATGGAGCTCTCCTCAAATAGGAAGTCTATCTGATGTTCTAGGAAAACAAGAAGAAATGTATTTTGGCCAGGAAAGGAATAATAACCTGCTCAGCAATGAATGACTGACAGGCCCATGGGAGAGGTATGAACACAGAAAGCTGAGAAGAGACTGGTTTGGCCTCCAAGAAGATAGCATTTGACATAGTGTGAGTGGCTGGGAGAGTGACAGTCACCTTAAACAGATTGGTCACCCTGTCAGTAACAATACAAGTCCCCTGGATCAGGCAAAGTTGTGTGTACAGCATACAGCATTCTAATTCTGGAAAGCAACCATATTTGGGGTTGATTTCCCTTATAAACCATGCACTCCTAGCACACACAGGTATGCATGTGTGCATATGTACAACCTCAGGCATGTGATGCACCTTATCTTCACTGGGCATCCTCTATTGCAACCTAGGTGTTGCTAAAATATCCAGGAGTCTCTGCACTGACTTATGAGGAACTGCTGGTGTTTTCAGTTTTCTCCAGAATTTGTGTTTCTCAATCTCCATTTCTCAAACTGATTTGCTAATTTTTAATGGGAAGAGTGGTATTTTTGCACAAAGCACTCTGACACGGGATAGGAGAAAGTGGCTTCACTGCCGATGGACTTGAAGGGGACTCAGGCCTCCCTGCAAAAAGCCCCGAACACAGGTACACTTTTATTTTTATAACTTTGGGCTGTGATAAGCAAGGTTGTTACATAAGCACAACTGCGGTGAGGGGGACTGGGAAAGTCTTGGCCAGACCCTGCAAGACCTATGTGGGAAATTTTCGAAAGGACATTCCAGTGGATGGTATTTTTTTTCTCTCTCACCTGTGCTAAACAGATTTGACTAAACTGAGATAAGCCCATGAAAACATATCATCAACGGCATATAGCAAAGCTCTGGAAATACAACTTGGCTCCGACATGGCTCCATCCCTAGGCATTACACAAAGGTTAAAAGTAGGCACATATGCTATAACATGCCAAAGACACAGGGTGGCCAGATCTGCATTTTATTGTTACCCCGCCACCAGGAGCTCACTGTATATTGCACATCAGAGAAAGCATTATTTTATGGTCTCTTCTAGAAGGAAGTTCCTTCTTGAAATCATTTGAAACTAACTAGCTCAAGATTTATGTAGGGGCTGAGGCTACAGCTCAGTGGAAGAGCACACCTGTCCAGTGTGTGCCAGGCCCTGGGTTTGATCCCTAGAACTAGGAAAAATACATCCAAATGCAGAGCTTGCTGAACCTATAAGCATGACGCCTGAAAGTGAGCAATTTGGGAAATGGGCTATAACATTCAGGGAATGGTTAGATGTGGAAAACAATGCTCGGTCATGGAATTGAAATGTATTTGAAAGAAAACAAGAAGACTCTGAAGTTTTGCTTTATTCCCAGACAGTTGGCTCCTTCTGAAATGCTCGGCTCATTTGCCTGGATTCATCACAGAGAAAGAATCTTTAAATACTTTCCATGCCCTGGGGAAGGGACAGCACACTTTAGAAGGTAAACCAAGGAGTCGGGTTTTTGGTGAAAGAGTTTCTGAATGTCCTCTCCAAGTACTTCCAAATGAAAGCGTGATTTCATATGTTTTAAATTGTTTGTAAAATATGCTTTCAAGAAATGGTGTTTCCTCTGATTCTTCCTGTTTCCTTCTTGTATGGATCTAATGAGCCTAAATTCTCAAAGACATTAAGGTAGAAGGTATGTGACATTAATACTTGGCCCTTAGATCAATGATTTCCAGTCTGTTTTTAAATAAAAGAGATAAAGTCATAGATTTATACTAACAATTCAAATTAACCATTGACTTCACTGCTAGAAATTCTAAAGCACCAATAGGTAAAGTGATATGCCTAGAGACATACAGTGACAGAAATAGGGATAGCAACCCACCATCCAGATGACAAATTCAGGGCTCTTCTCATCTTTCTGGCAGATTCCTTCAAAAATAAGTATTTTAAAAATGTGGCCAATTAATTAATGTTTATAATCACTTTAAATCCTGCCAAGGAATCCACTGAATTAATAGATTGGATATAAGGTAAAGGAGACATCAAAAGGCAGTGAGTAAATGAATGTGAAGGGAACCACTTAATTATTCGTAGGGTTTTTTGTTTGTTTGTTGGTACTGGGGATGGAACTCACCACCTCACATTTGCCAAGCAGGCACTTGTGCCACTGAGCTACATCCTCAACCCCTTATTTTGTTTCTTAGTTTTCTGTATTTTTGAGACAAGGCCTCACTATGCAGTTCAGTCTGGCCTTGAATTCACTTTGTAGCCCAGGTTGGTCTCAAACTTGCAGTGATCCTCCTGCCTCAGCCTCCTGAGTGCTGGGATTACAGGCATGTACCACCATACCCAGTTGAATTATTCCTAGTTTTAAACTATTCAGAAACCACAAGAAGTTGAAAAGAAGCATGCTCAAGGCTTGGAATTTTACCTCCCAGGACTACATATGTAAGCTGGAAAATAGGAAGAAGAAGAGTTGCTTCACCCAGAGGCAATGGTATTGCATCAACCATCCTCGTCATTCTGCAGCTTCCTTGTGCATATGCCCAGAACCAGTCACAGAATTTCCTGCTGAACCTGAGTGTCTCCTCCAAGCCACCTCAGTCCCTCAAAATTTTTCCTTTTGGGACTTCCCAGAAATGGACTCTTACAAGAAAGTATAAAAAGAACAGCTGCTCTGGGCAAAGCAACTCCCCTGGCTACCACAGGAGGCTAAGGCGAGTGGCAGGTAAGACTTGCTAGCAGTAATCTTTCCTGGCTTTTGCAAAGTGAATGGTAAAACTTCCTAACTGCTTCTCAGAAATCTTAGTACTGAATTGAGGCTTTGCTTCTTGGTACCAGATTTGCCTACCACATGACAGGTCATCCCTGTTTGGGGTAAGAGAAAATGGGACTAAATCCACTACTGGGCAAGAAGGTTTCTATGTTTCTGAAAACTAAGTCATAGAATCATAAACTCTTCGGGCTAGAAGGTCCCTTAGTTCTCTTTTATCCATCCCTATTAGCAACTGAGGTCTCAGACAGGTGTTCAAGGTCACACAGAAAGTTGGAGGGAATAGTAACAGAATCGCAGTTCCACACAGTGGTCTTAATACTGGAATAAATAGTCTGACTTTTTAGCAATACTGCCGGGCTTTTGCAGTGTCTTTAAGGTTCCCTAAGCCAGGGCTCTTAGATAGTCATCTTCTCTGCAGTATCTCACACCTACTATCTGCAGCAGATCTGAACTGACTGTCTATTCCCAGGCTCTTAAATGCCCCCAGTATGCTTTTAGTCAAGGGCATGGACTTCAGCAGTACGAGATGAGCTTCATTCTGGGAGAGCAGAATGGCTGAACCATATTGTTTTTTTAGCAGCTGGGTGCATTCGGCCAAGTACCCAACACCTTCCTTCAGCTGAGAAGATTGTTTCTGCTATACAGGGCTTGATGAGAGCCACTGAGGTTATAAAAGGAAAACAAATTCAAATTCAGATTAGTTTCTAGTATATTTTCAGACTCCAGGTATGTGGGAGTTTTCTACAAGCAGTTCTGCAAGAGCAATTACCAACTGGGTGTCCTCTAATCCTGTTCTAACACTGTCTACCTTGGAGGCAGCACCAGACCCCACAGGACAGGGCTCAATCCCAAAGACCACTCTCCCTTTTGATGCCAACCGAAAGCAGCCTGCTATACCAAGCTCCTGACCAACTACCTACAAATCAGGATTCCCACAACTCCCTCCTCAAGGTTGACAAACTTGTAACAGTTGCCCACAAAATTTAGGGAATTTCCTGCAGTCACAGGACTCTGGTAGGCTGAAGCAAATTATCACGAGTTCAAACTCAACCTGGGAAATTTAACAATTTAGTAAGACTCTGTCACAAAATTTTAGAAAGGGCTGAGGCTATAGCTCAGTGGGAAGGCCCTGAGTTCAATCTCTAGTGCTAAAAAAATAAAATCAGGAAACCACATATTCCTGTTTATCAGTTCATTATAAAGAATGTTACAAAGTGTACAGATGGAGAGGTGCAGAGGTCGAAGTATGGAGGAAGGAACCCCAGAGCTTCTGCACACTTCCTGGGCACTCCACCCTTCCAGAAGCTCTATGCATTCAGCTATCCTCAAGCTCCCCCATGAACACTATCATTTGGGGTTTCAGGGAGATTTTTGTTACATAATTGGAACCTGGACAACCTTGTCGAGCTAATACTGATGGACCGAGTGGGGAAACCCAGCAAAGCCTGTCTGTTCAGGTTCCTCTTGGGCTCTTTGTGCCACATCTTCCCTCCCAGGCAAAGGCGCAATCCCTTCTGAAATGAGAGTGTTACACTTTACTATTAAGTAAGGGAAATCCGAGAATCTCATTATAGCCACCTCTGAGACAGAAAGCAGATTTGGTTTCTGTGGTTTCTGTGGTTTCTTTTGGGGAAGAAAAATTCTAGTTTCTACGGTTACCTTGGAGAGGCAGTTTTAAACCAGAAAGCTAGAATGAAAATTTTAAAAATGTATATGTATATATATAATATCACAGTTTCCTCTCTTTATTCTCTTGATCCTAGAGTTGCTCAAGAGGTCAACTAGAGCATTCTTTCTGGCGATTTGTTGGCTTTCCCCTGGGCTCATCCCCCCAGCCTCAGCAGAGCTCTTGCCTGTCCTGGAGGAGAAGTCTACTGATGTCTTCCTTTCTTAGGGCTTCCTGCAGTCTTTCTGGTGACAACCCAGCAAATCTGAGAGTCAAACTCTGAAGGCTGGGGTTCTCAGAGAGTGGTCTGTAGCCAGCAGCATCGCTGGGGAGCTTGCTGCTAGGGCACTCTTGCCTCCCCGCCCCCATGACCTCCCAAGTCAGACTCTGCATTCACTAGGACTCCCCAGGTGATTCTTGAACATATTACAGTATGAGAGGCCTGTTATGAGACCATTAGCCCTCTACCCCGCAACAACTCCAGCTGGTTCACTTTTCTGTTCCGTCCTTCATTTGACGCGTACCTACCACCTATTATGTGCCAATTCTATGTTTAGACACTAGAAGGACAGAAATAAATAGGACATCACTCTTAAGAAGCCTATTGTCTGACATGCAAACAGGAAAACAGTAGTATAAGATAGGAGTCAAGCACTGAGGGAGGACAGTTAAAAACAATGACCTAACTTTGCCTGGAGAAATATGGTAAAATGCACAGAGGAAGTGGTATTTGGTCTGGGTTTTGATGAGTGAATAGGAATTTATGAGGCAGAGAAGACGCTGCCTAAGTAGAGGCATAAGATTGTGGACCATCCTGGCATTTGAGGGTCAGAGGCTATGGCTCTGGATTCAGAGAAAGCTAGGTCCCACAGAAGGCTTTGATTGATGGAAGACCAAGGGGCTTGGGAATGCTTTCTACACTGGCCCCGAGGATAAGAATGTAGACAAACATCTAAAAATTGCAGACGCCCCTGGCTGGCCTCAGACACTGTAGGCCCCACGCCCTCAGCCTTTTGCCATGCTTGGTTCTGGCTGCAGACAGAATCTTTCTCCACAGTCATTGTCAGGAGGCAATGACTCCATAAATATCTGCTCTGCTCTCTGCCCCTCACCCTTCCTTCACACTCACCAGGAACTGTGGCCATAACACGGAAAACAATTTAGTTTTATCCTGGAACTCCTCGCTCTCTCGCTTCCCAGTGAGTAGAGCATGAAGATTATCCCAAAGAAAATATGTATTGCAGTTTCGTTTTCTGTTCTGATTTCCCAGCTTTCAGGTCTTTTACTGTGATATTCCTCTCCTTCAGTCGCTCCCTGAGAATGCGATTTTTCCTAGGCTAACCTTTTACTTACCACTTACAATTTATTGTAACAACAATAGTAATATGTGAGTCCATATGAATATATGAATGTGCCCATCAGTCCCCTTAAAAAAAAATCAGTGATGTGGTGGTGGCCAGGAACTGGAGGAAGGGGATATGGAGACTAAGTATTCCGTGGGTAGAGCTTCAGTTTTGCAAGAAAAAGTTCTAGCAAAACAATATGAATGTCGTGTGTGTGTGTGTGTGTGTGTGTGTGTTACTAGGAATTGAACCCAAGACTTTTGAGCTGAGCTACATCTCCAGTTTTCAAGTTGTCCAGGCTGGGCTGGAACTGCAATCTTCCTGTCAGCCTCAAAGAGCGCTGGGGTCACAGGCCTGTCCCACTGAATCTGGCTCACAGTGAAGGTCTCCTAGTTAAGATGGGGAAATTTTATGCTATAATTTTATACCACAATTAGACAATTTTTTAAAAGTAAAATTCCTTTTACTCCTGAACCATTATCGTTGTTTTCCTGGAAGGGCAGATTTCCACTGACTTAATAGACCCTGCAAAGTTCTCCAGTCAAAGAAAGGGTGACAGAGGGAGAGAAAGTCACATAATTTGTTCCTACTTGGGGCTATACAAGTGTAAAGACAAGAGTCCACAGAAGAGTTGATCCATTGGAGAATGTGCCTTGGGGAAAAAAAGTCTTGGTCAGAAAAGTAGTTCACTCATACCTTGCCTCTTTTCTAAAGTTAGCTTACAAAGAGTATATTCTTTTTTATTTTTATTTATTTATGTTTTTAGACAGGGTCTCACTATTCAGTTCAGGCTTCCTTGACCTCATTTGGTAGCCTAGGCTGACCTCAAACTCAAAATCCTCCTATCTCAGCTCCCAAGTGCTGGAATCATAGGCAAGTGGTACCACTCTCAGCCGACCAAAAGTATATCCAAAAATGCATAAATTATTAAGAGGGAGACACAAAAAAGCAAGGGGGAATTGGGCTGTCTGAAGAGGTAGAAATGGCCTGGTCTAGGTGTGCAGTTCTCCTCTTCTGGGCTAAGCTGATCCCTGGGGTCACCAGAGAGTGTCTGCGAGGTGGGCTGGGTCATGGCTCTGGCAAAGCTCCAGAGCTGTGATTTCTCTCAGAAACCTTTGGAGAGATATGGAGGTGCAGCAGAGGGGTCTTCCCTGTGAGTTTCTGGGGAGCGTCTTGCTGTGGGGAGAAGGCATGCCCTCTTGTGAAAGGTGAGGAGCCCATCAAGAGACTGTGGAATGCTGGACCTAGGCAGGTTGGAGCCAGGATCTTCTCAAAAGTTAGTTTGGGTCTACTCCACTGAGCTCCCTGCAGCCCCTCATTGGAAAGCTGCCCCGGTGGAAGGAATAGCTCAGTGGGAGAGCACTTATCTGGAATATGTAAGGTCAGCGGTTCAAGCCACAGCACCTCAGAAGAAGGAAACAAAAAAGAGGAAGAAAACAAGCAGTTGAGTGACTTAGGCTCAGAGTTAAAGGCCATGATGAAGGGATTAATTTGAGAGCTGGAATGACTCTACACAGCCTAGAACACAGCCCTGGCTCACGCAGCTTCTGAGCTTTTTCCCAACTCTCTTGCATGTAATTCCGTCAGATCTGCTCCTTGAGAAGGCAGAGCCACTGGGGTTTCTGAGGACAGGCAGGGGTGCCTGCCCCTGGCACACTCCCCTGTTGTGTTCCAGAGAAGACTGACTGGCAGGAAGCAAAACATCCTGGGTAAAGGAAGAAGAGAACGCCAAAGACTTGGTAATGCCATTTCTGTAGCAAAACAAGTACAAGATTTCAGGATCACGGGCTGTCAGCAATCACTAGGCAGGCCAGCAGCCCAGAGGTGCTGAATAACCTCTCCAAGGTTACAGCGTTGTTAGAGCGACTTCAGCTACAACTCAAGGTCTTGGACTCTGAAGCCAGAGCTCTCTCCTTCCTTCCCTTGCTTCATTTGTTTCTCCATACCTGGTGTGGGCCTGTGCGTACACAGCTGCTTCTGAAGCGGTGTTTGCCCTGGCCCTTAGAGCATCTGTCTTGTTGTTCTCTCCTTTCTGTGATTCAGTCCCTCCCATTGGAGCTCCAGCAAGACTCCCAGCATAGCCCTGGTCTCATTTCAGTGATGAGGGTCCTTCTTCTTCTCCCAGCGCTCCTGGCTTCCCTGCTGTGGCTCCAGGCTACAGTACCCCTCACAAAAGGTAAGTGTCCATTGTTTTTATTTCCTGAGGTTGCTGTAACACAGCGCCATATGTGAGGGGTTAAAGATTAGAGAAACTTCTTCTCTCACTCACCAGGAGGCTGGAGGTCTAGGATCAAGGGAGTAGCAGGGCTGTGCTCCCTCTAAGCCTTAGCGGGGAATCCTTTCTTGCTCTGGCAGCTCCCATCATGTTTGGGAGGTCAGAGTTGCATCCCCCAATCTCTGGCTCAGCCTTCACCTTGCCTTATCCCTGTGTCCACTGGACATGAGATTCACCATGCACCCCAATTCTTTGTGGCCTCATCTGAATTAACTGCATCTGCAGAGACTATTTGAAAATAAGGTCACCATCTAAAGTTCCAAGTGGTCACAAGTTTGGGGCAGACATTATTCAATCCAATCCATGTTCAGAGAACGGGGCCTGCCCCTAACATTCCAGACCCCAACATTAGTGAAAACAAGGAATCCTGCCTCTACCTTTGTGCTACCCCGTTCCCTACTTCAGTGTGATCACTAAGCACTTTGATGGCTTTGCTTAAGGGTTCCTGGAACCATCTCATGAGGAGCCAGAAAAATCCCTCAGAGCCCAGCATCCCAAGCCAACTTGGGTAGTCACGCTGGATCCCCAGGAATCTCATCACTGGGTACTTTAGTGGGATTCCAAAAGGCAATGTTGACACCTTATTAAAGATCGGGGGCACTTGGGGCTGGGGGTTTAGCTCAGCGGCATAAGTGCCTGCCTTGCAAGCAGGCAGTCGTGAGTTCGATCCCCAGTACCGATAAAAAAGAAAAAGACAAAAAAAAAAAAAAGATCGGGGGCACTCTTCCCATCCTGTGCTTCTTCTGCTTACTTAAAGACTCTTGGGAAACTCCCCTGATCAGTCCTTCTCTCCTGCCTGCTCAGATTTGAGAGGCGAACACACTGACTGGGAAAAAGCAGACAGAAGCAAAGTACATCCCAAAAAAGTGTGGTGTCTGATACCCTGTTCTTGCTTCCTTCCCCTATTTTCCCCCAAGCACAGACCACCCAAACTTCAATCATCGCTGATACTGTGAATCAGGTCAAGGTCCAGGTCAACAAAGCCTTCCTGGATTCCCGAACTAGGTATGCGACACACATGCACACACGTCTCTGTGTGTCCTTCCTCCTCAGGACAAGAGCATCTACCAGCCCTGACAAACCAGAGCCAAAGCAATTATAAAACTTGCCCTTCCACCCACCCCTACTCCCAGGTATTTGGAATGCAAGACTAATAGCTCCCAAGTCCAAAGCTCCAGCTTCTAAGGTATTTCGCACAGACATCTAGTCTTAGAAGGACTTTCTTGTGTGTGGTTCCTTGTTTCCCTGGGCCAAATGTAACAGTCTCAGATAATTCTTTGTGCATTCAACTAATGCTCACCTGGGTCGGCCTCCACAGAAGTAGAACCCAATTCTGGACCCAGGCACAGGTGACTAAGCAAGGTAGCACTCTCGGGAAAGCTGTCACAGAATGAATGGAATGAGGGCAGCTGGAGACAGGAAAGAGAAGTGACAGTGATGTTCCAGGTTTAACTTCAGCCTGGTCCCCTAGCAAGACCTGGAACACAAGGAACACCTACTGTGGTCCCAGGGTCAGCTGGGCAGACATCAAAGCACACAGGCCACTCCAAGGCGGCTCCAGCTGTGCTGCTCCAATGGCTCAGATTTGAGTACCCAACAAGGGTTATAGCACTGACCCTTGAGTACCGCATTTGCAATGAGGAGAGGAGCGCACCAACCCTCTTCAAGAATCCAAGGGACCCAGCAGTCCCTGAGATGCCAGCATCCTCCTCCCAGCAAGAAGCCAGGACTCATGAAATGGAGGGGCTATAAGGGAAGACAACTCCCATTCCCCCGGACAGGTTAGTCTCTTACACTCCTCTTCTTTTTGGGCCCTTTTCCAGTGTCTTAGAAATTCAGCTGCCAACTCTATACCCGGGAAATTCTCCATCCTGTGGTGTAAGCCTCCAGTCCTTGGCCTGGGAGTATCAGGCTGCCTCCTTTGCTGTCTCCACTTGGCCTTCTGGGCTACTGGGCAATAAGACCAAAATGACAGAGCGTCTGTCTCTTGGGTTCTTTTTATGAAGGCTGTGGGGAGGTTAGGATAGACCTGGACACACGAGGCCAGTCACCACAGCCCTTCACCAGGTGGTTCCTCACACTGAGAACCTATACCTTCTAATACTTTAAATAGTGGTCTGACATGCATTTAACAGACCAGACACCAAAGCCAGTGAACTGTATCCAACGGTCAGGTTGCCTTTTTGAGAATTTGAGTCTTTTACAAAATTTCAGTCTGAGAGACATAGGGATCACCTGATAGGTCTTCTGATAGATCTTCAGTAAATAAGGGACCTGATAGATCACCTGATAGATCTTCAGTACCTAAGGGAACTGAGGCACGGTGAGGGAACCAGGGGTTCTCATGAAGGACTTCACTGACAGCATCTCGTCCTCAGTCACAAACTTTGTAGCACAGGAGTCTTGGTTTCTTGTTTTATACATGGAACTTAAAGGAAGGGGGAGCCTGAGCAGTTGTACAAGATCCTTGGCAGTAGGTCAGATCCTTCAGGCCCCAAACTCCTTGGCAGCTCTGGGGCCAGGTCAATGAGGGGATGTTTTCACAGGCAAAACTGGAGACCCATAAGCATCCTATGCTTAGACTTCTCCACCCACAAATCATGTAACATGCTATCTATATACAGGGGTTCTCTATGTCTCAGTACTCTGTAGATTCTGCTTGATTTGGGGCTTCCAGATGCTCCTGGCCACCAGCCTGCCTGCTCTCAGTACCAGACCCATCAAAGCTTCACAACCAATGTGGTTTCCTTCTCCCAAAAGAGATTTTCCAAAGCCCTTAGAAGAAAACTGAAGAAAAGATGCTGAGAAATACAGGGTGTTTGTCCCCTGTGTGTCACCCAGTCCCTGTGGCTCCCTCCTATACATGCACCACCTCCTGTCAGCCCCTTCGGCAGGGACCAGCTCATGATGCACTCTGCTCTCCTCCATAGGCTGAAGACTGCCATGACCTCGGGGATGCCTCCCACCACGAGACAGCTCTCCGAGTACCTCAAGCATGCCAAAGGCCGCACGCGGACAGCCATCCGCATAGGGCAGGTGTGGGAAGAGTCCTTAAAGAAGCTGAGGCTGCAGACCCCCTTGACCAATGTCACAGGTACAGAAAACTCACCAGCCTTTTGACAGCAGGAAAAGCACATCACTGCAGAAAAAAGAGCAGAGGCCACCACAAGTCACACCCCCTGGCAAAGCTGTCTACAAGGAAAGGCACCCCTGTGTCTGCCTTCTTAGAATCATCATACACCAGGTGGGCAAGGCAAAGAGGAGCTGAGGGGACAGCCAGGTCACAGCATACAAAGAAACTTAGATCTAGCAAGATCACCTTGCCAACTCCTTGTGAGGGGACATGGTGTTCTTGGTATAATACCATCGGTCAGGCCTCTGCCTGAAGGAAGTGCTAAAGTCAATAAACACGGGCTCCCTGTTCCAAACCACAGTGTCACCTCGGCTGTTAGCAGAGGGCACATGTAAATCAACTGTGTCAGGTGGATTTACTGGGATTATGTTGCAAGAGATGAGATCTCTATCATGTTACCGGTAACACCACGATGACACCTCTGGTTTGATTTCCTGCCTCTCGTCCTGTGACTCAGAATGGAGAAAGCACTTAGTCTCTTTGGGGTCCCTTCCGTTTCAGGCTCCAGCCTGGACTTGACTTCGCTGTCTGCCGAAGTGGGCTGCCAGGCGGCCCCTGCCCCTGTGGTGAGCTGTGACATGAACAGCCCTTACCGCACCATCACGGGAGACTGTAACAACAGGTGCCCTTGGTGGAGGGGGGACTCCAGCCGCCTGCCCAGCCCCGCCCAGCCAGGGTCTCTGCCCTTTGGGTGTTCCTAGCAGAGCCTCTCCCTCCTCTACACCTACCCCCCAGCTCTCTGGGACCCACCTAAAGATTGCAATGCCAGGGCTCAGTTGGGGAATTTAGAGACCCACACATGAGTCCCCTCCCTGCACCTCCCCTCCCGCTGGGGTCCTGGGCTTTGCAGCTACCCTGAGCAGGTGACCCGCTGTGACTGAGCGGGGTCTCGCGGATTTCAGGAGGAACCCGGCGTTGGGCGCCGCCAACAGGGCGCTGGCTCGCTGGCTGCCGGCTGAGTACGAGGACGGGCTCTCCCTCCCTTTCGGGTGGACACCGGGGAAGACACGGAACGGCTTCCCGGTCCCGCTGGTGAGGAAGAGCGGAATCGGGGCGAGCCCTGGAGGATGGGGTGAAGGATGGGCTGCGGGGTCAGAGGGAAGCCGGATGGAGCCCCCCAGGAGACGGAGATTTGGACTTGCTCCCTGGCGATGTCCCCCAAAACGCCACGAGAGGGCAGCATAGCCCAGCCACGTGGTGGTCACATCCCAGCCCCCGCGGGTCTGGGGCAGATGGTCTCCCTGCCCTATTTGCTCGCGCTTACCCGGCTCCTGCCCCTGGGGTGCAGCAACTGTCGTTTTCCTGGAAGCCTTATCTGTTGGCTTCTTCGGAGTTGGCAGCCCCTTCCCAGAGGCCCCCTCTCCAGTGCCCCGACACTTGGCACCTCCTCCGCCGAGCTTACTCCAGGGACTGCTTGTCTGTTTTCTGGCTCCACAGTGCAAAGGACACTGGCCTTGCACGCCCTCAAGTCATACAATCCTGGGTTCAGTCCCATCCCTGACTCTTTGTAGCTGCAAGACCTTGGCACGTTGCCTTTATAGAGTTGAGGCTCCTCATCTACAAGGTGAGGTAACGCTGCCGGCCTCACAGACTCTTCCTAGGGATGCATGCATCGCAGGGACTCAAAGCACGATTTCCTTCATTCTGCCCTCCTTTCTCTCTCCTTCTGTAGGCCCGTGATGTATCCAACAAGATCATCAGCTATCTGAACGAGGAAGATGTTCTAGACCAAAACAGGTCCATGCTCTTCATGCAGTGGGGTCAAATTGTGGACCACGACCTGGACTTTGCCCCTGAAACTGAAATGGGGAGTAGCAGTTTCTCCAAAGCCCAGTGCGATGAGCACTGTATCCAAGGAGACAACTGCTACCCCATCATGGTAGGTCCTGCTGGAAGGGAGAGAGGCTGGAAATGGTGCACCTTTTCCTGTTACTCGTGGATTTTGCAGAGTCATTTATTCACCTAGCAACAAATCAAAGCGATGTGCTATGGTATAAAGAGTACGAGCTAGGGATCTAAGTCTCATATCTTTACCTTCCAGTTTAGACCAGTTTCTTAATCTTTCTGAGCCTCAGTTTTCTCACATGCAAAATGGGATGGAATTGTCTACCTTACAGGGTTTTATGAGTACCAAAGTGAGATAAAGTGCGCAGAATACATGGTAGCTCCAAAGTAAAAAAGGGCCCTTTTTGTTAGGAGTGATTACTAACAGCTCTTTCCCACGTCACATGTTGCTTCTCTACCCAGGGTTCTCAGGACACTGTCCCTATCAAAACTTCAGAGCCCTCCCTGAGAATAAATGATTGCTTAGCATTTTTTACAGCAGGTCATTGGGGTCAGGATTTAGCTCAGCAGGTTAAGCACCTGCCTGGCAAGCACAAGGTCATAAGTTCAATCCTCAGCACCAAAAAATAAATTTTCATAAAGCAGGACATGTGTAATGTCAGCAGGAGGCACCTGACCTTCTTATCTGGTACAAGGGTCCCAGAGAGACACCATCAGCATCTTTACATCCAGATTAGTCCTGGAGAGAGGCTGTGGGGTCCAGATGTGCTGTCTCTGCCTAGCTACCCTCCCCCAATCTCTCTGCAGTTCCCACCCAGTGACCCCAAGGTGAAGACTCAAGGGAAGTGCATGCCTTTCTTCCGAACCGGGTTTGTCTGCCCCACTCCACCCTACCAGTCTCTGGCCCGAGAACAAGTCAACGCTCTAACCTCCTTCCTGGATGCCAGCTTGGTGTATGGCCCTGAGCCAAGCCTGGCCAGCCGCCTGCGCAACCTCAGCAGCCCCTTGGGTCTCATGGCTGTCAACCAGGAGGTCTCAGATGATGGGCTGCCTTACCTGCCCTTCGTCACCCAGCAGCCTAGCCCCTGTGAGGTCATCAACACCACAGCTGGTGTGCCCTGCTTCCTGGCTGGTAAGTGTAGGCCTGGAAGAGAACAAGCACACTCAGAGAGGCTTTACCGCCACTCCCTTCCCCACATTTTTCCAGAAAAATGAACTGAGTCACTGCTGTCCATGGCACTGATCCAGGACTGGCAGGAGGGCCAGATGAAAAAGTAATCTGAAAATATGTGCATACTGTAAACACAAAACAAAATAAGGAAATTCATCAAAGAAAAGCCGCACAATCCCATCACAAACTAACAATCATAGTTAAGCTTGTGTTGCCAATCTTCCCAGGATTTCTTATATCACAAGAATAGCTTTACATAACTGGGGTCACACTGTAAGTAATGCTCTATAACCTGATGTCTTCACTTGACCACATCCCATGGCATTAACTCTTCTTACAGGAGTGTCGAACTCACAGCTCCCAAGTTGGGCACAGCTGGCCTACTTGGGCTACACTGAGTGAAAAGGAATTGTCTCGGGTCACATATAAAATGTCTAGTGTAGTTAGCATATATAGGTAACACAACTTGTTTTTCATATAATTTTTATTATAGCAAAAGAAATCGAGTGATGCCACATGAGCCACAGGTTGGACACACCTATTAGATTAAGAGGAATGGATATAGACATTAAGACTTTTCTTGTAACCTGGGCACACTCTATACAACCATGTGTCCACCTAGTCTTCTTCTGTTCCTTGCCACGCTGATGAGACAGCAGTCTACTTAGGCTAAGCTGTCTGGATGATTTCTTGAATTTAATGTCTCAAGCCTGTGAGTTTAACAGATGTTCTTGAAGCTTAGAGAATGCAGGGCAAGGCACCCTTGTGAGACATCTCTGGTCTTTAGCCACTTAACTGCCCGCCCCCTTGCTCATCTCTTCTTCTCCCCAAAGACCCTGTCTCCAGATTCTTCTCCCTTTTTTACCCAGAGGAATTCATTTCTAAAGACTTCAGATGTGCCTTGCAAAGTGAAGGTGCCCTCTTGTTTATTTGAACTGCCCTTCTTACAAGACAATTGGGTTATAATGACCAAAATGTATGTATACAGAACTGAGATGCAAACCTATAATTGCTACCTCTGTCCTTCTGCACCTCACTTCCCTTAAGCTGCTGGGAAGGAGGATTTAGGAGTGGGTTCTCTGGGGCGCCATTATCTCTGTGTAGGTCCATGGTTCCTGGAACTATTCAGGTAGATATGGCTTCACCTTCTTGCCTTCTGGGCTTGTAGGAGATTCCCGAGCCTCTGAGCAAATTCTGTTGGCCATGTCCCACACCCTCTTTCTCCGCGAGCACAACCGGCTGGCCCAAGAACTGAAGGCACTCAACCCTCGGTGGGATGGAGAGAAGCTCTACCAAGAAGCCCGGAAAATCCTGGGCGCCTTCATGCAGGTACAGAGACACAGTGGCAACCTGCCATGGCCACCCACCTGTCCTGCTGCAGCTGACTATCTCAGCCACCTCCATTTCCCACACATTCCCTACCTTTTCCTCTTCCATTGCCTGAGTCTTTTATTCTCTTTCTTCTTTCATGTCTTTGGCTTTCTATCCCAAAGCAAATTCCTGGGTTCAGAGTGTTGGTCCTTTTAGTGCAACCTTCTCTGGTGCCGTGAGGGGGACCCAAGGCTTTATTGGCCCTGAGACTGCTGCTTGGCAGTGACTTGGGCTATTTTGATTTCATTCTCTTCCTTTTATAGGTCCTTTGGCAGGTTGATGTCAACCATACATATTCTTTTTTAAGCATTTTATTTTAAAATAATTACAGTGTCTCAAGAAGTTGTAATAATAATGTATAGAGGGATCTGTGTACCCTTCACCCAGCCTCTGCTGATGCTAATCCCCTCTGTCTTGCATAACTATACTGTAACTGCAAAACAAAAGCAAAATCAGCTTTGACCAGGGGGTTACTGTGGATGCAAACCAAGGAGTTTGTTCAGGTTTCACCAGCTATAATGCAGTCGTCTGTGTGTGGGACATGTGTGCAAGTCTGTATAGCATTACGTAAACACCATAAAAAATGACTTAGCTGCATGAACAAGACTCTCATGCTACCTTTTTACAGTCACAACTACCCGCAGCAAATGACTCCTAGAAAATGCTAATCTGTTCTGCATCTCTATCATTACACTAGTTCACACGTGTTACATAATGGAATCATTCAGTGTGTTTCCTTTTGAGAGAGATTTTTTTCCGCGCCAAGCATAGTATCTGTGAGATTCCTCCAACTCATGTGTCATTGCCGGCTAGTAGTCAGCTGTTGGAGGACACTGGATTCCAGATTGGAAGATGGATTCCTTCCTCCACCCCCACCCTGCAGCCTCTCCAGCATTTATTTGATTTCTTGAAGATAGTCATTCTTTCTGGAGTGAGATGATGATATGGAATATCAGTGTTGTTTTAATTAATAGTTCTCAGATGACCAAAGATGTTGATTTTTTTTTCATGTATTTATTGGCCATTTGTACTTCTTCATCTGACAAGTATCTATTCATTCCAGATGCACAATTTTTTAATCGAGTCTTTAAATCTGAGGGGTGAAGTCTAATACTTTGAATTTTTTTTTATAATCTAGATATTAATCCTTTATCTCTTTGATTGCCTTTAAAACTTTTTACTTGTGTTTAGTCTTCAGATATTTAATTATTATATGCCTTGGAGTGAGTTTCTTTGGTTTTATGCTGTTTAGAGTTCATTCAGCTTCTTACATCTATAACTGTATGTCTTTCACCAATTCAGGGAAATTTTTAGGCATTATTTCTAAAATAATCTTTTGGTTTCACCCTCCTTCCTGTCTCCTGGAACTCCACTGATATGAGTGCTGGATCTTTTATTTTTGTCCCACAGAATTCTGAGGCTCTGGTTTGCGAGAGGGTGTTTTGTTTTATTTTGTTTGTTTGCTTGTTATAGCACTGAGGGTTGCTTCCATCCAGGGCCTTCTTACTAAGCTACATCCCCAGTCCCCCACATAGTCCCCCCCCTTTTTTATTTTGAGACAAGGTCTTGCCAGGTCACTAAGTTACACTGGCTGGACTTGAACTCGTGTACCTCCTTCCTCAGCTTCCCTGAGTTCTGGGAAGCATGTGGCACCACACTCAACTGAGATATTTTAGGTCTATTTTCTCTCTGTTCTACAGATTGAATCTCACTCCTCTATTCTCAGGTCTACTCTCTATCGTTACCACTTTACTATGAAATCTATCCAAATTTGTTTTTAGTTTCAGGTAGTATAGTTTCAGTTCCATGAATTCATCTTTTTAAATAACTTCTGCTTCTTCCTGAGGTATTTGAGTTTCTTATTTTTCAGGAGAATCTGTGACTATTGAAGGATTTTGAAGGTGGCTGCTTTAAAACCTTTATCAGATAATGCCAGTATCTGATTCACATCCTCATTGGCATCAATTACTGCCTTTTCTTACTCAAAATTAAATTTTCTTGGTGCTTGGTATTAGAGGTTATTTTGAATTGTATCTTAGTCATTTTGATTATTAGGAGATGCTTGATCTTATTTAAATATTCTATTTTAGCATGTCATTACCTAGTTTAGGTTTAGCATGTAGAATCGATCTACTTTTAGGGGTTTTCGTTCCAACGGTGGCCTGGCTTCCTGAGCCGTCCTAATGCTGTTCTGGTCCATTTCACCCCTCCTGCATTCTGAGCTTCTCCCTCCATCCCTGCTGGTACTGTCTTCAGGGCAAGAAGGTTCTTTCTTAGCTGCCTGCTGTTGCTAAGCAACCTCCTAGAGAAGCAGAAACCACCTGCCTGGGTCTCCTTGGTGTAAAGTGAAGGCTAAAGAGCAAAAGGACACAGGACTCCAGTACTGCCACCACCACAGGCTGGCAGGATTAGCACCAGACTGGTTCATGGGGCAAAGGCTTCGATGCTCTCAGTGTGCCGTCCTTGATTTTTGCCTGCTTATTTCTCTTGGGGGCGGTTTCTCTAGAGCTCCCCTCTGCAAACATTTAACCCTTCTCATCCCCTTTCCTTATGACTTATTTCTCCCTTCAGATCATCACCTTCCGGGACTACCTACCCATCGTGCTAGGTGATGAGATGCAGAAGTGGATCCCCCCATACCAAGGCTACAACGAGTCTGTAGATCCCCGAATTTCCAATGTCTTTACCTTTGCTTTCCGCTTTGGCCATTTGGAGGTCCCTTCTACTATATTTCGCCTGGATGAGAATTATAAGCCATGGGGGCCAGAACCAGAGCTGCCACTGCATACCCTCTTCTTCAACACTTGGAGGATGGTCAAGGAAGGTACGGCCTTCCGGGAGAGTGCTCTCCTGGCTCTGCCCACTCTGCAATCCCCCGCTAGGGAAGCCTGGTTTAGCAGTCAGACTCCACACACCTTCCATGTGACCTTGGGCCACTGAATTCATCTCACTGAGCCTCAGTTTCCTCCTTTGTAAGAATAGGCACAATCATAGTACTCAACTCATGATATTTTTAAAAATTAACTGAGGTAAACATGTGGAGCACCCTACGAGAGTTCCTAACACACAGCAAGTGACTAATAAATATTAGTCATTACTATTTCTTTCCTCCTTCCTGCTTCCTGGTGGTCTAGAATTTCTCTGCCGCCACTCCTTGCCCTTGGCTTCTCTTACCTTTGAAGAAAGAGTTCATGGTCTTGGTAAAGAAGCAGCTCTGTCCTGCTCTCCTCCAGAGCTTTCCGCCTCCATGAAGTGTCAAAGGTGGGAAATAACCCTCCTTTGTCCCGGGTTGTGGTTGGCTTTCCTTAGAGCATCACAAGTCAGGACCATTTTCTAAAGGCTCCTGCTGCCTCTTCTGGTGCTACAGGGTTCCCAGGAGGATGAATGTTCCAGGAGGACAAAGTGTTAACTCCATGAACTAAAACTTGAAAGTGGCATCATATTCATGCTGTCATCCCATGAGCTCCCCTTTCTGCCACCCCAGAGTCAGGCCACCTGGACCCCCCTTTCCCTGAGCGTGCTCAGTTGGTGCTTCCTTAACCACGGAAGGAGTCTCCCCTTTACTCGCATCCCGAGGATGGCCTCTGGATCTCCCTTTGCAGGTGGAATCGATCCTCTGTTGCGGGGCCTGTTGGCCAAGAAGGCCAAGTTCATGGATCAGAATAAAATGATGACAGGAGAGCTGCGCAACAAGCTCTTCCAGCCGACTCACACCATCCATGGCTTTGACCTGGCTGCCCTTAACATACAGCGGTGCCGGGACCACGGGCAGCCTGGTGAGTGGGCCCAGGCTCAGGGCTAGCCTCAAGAACCCTTAGCTTCCTTCTGAGGACCCTGGAGCCTCACCCCAGAAACCACAGACTGTGATCAATTCCAAGAAAAAGGTTTATAAAACCCATTTTGCTCGTCCATGATATGGAATCTTTTATTCTCCTTCAAGCAGAGGCATGAACACATATTTGGTATTGTCTTGGAGTTCCTGAGATGAAAAAGAGACCAACAAACTTCTGAAATCAGTTAACATCCCAGAAAAGATTGAGAAAAGAATAGAGAAAAGCCAAAGACTGTTGATATTTTCTTTCACACCCATGAAAGGCAATTTAACATAAATAGAGCCCGACTACTTGAGTTCAAATCCTAGCTGTGCCATTTGGTAGTTAGGAGGAGGGGACAAGTCACTTGACACATTTGCTCCTTAACTCACCTATTTACAGTAGTGTCTAGATCCATGGTCAGTACCCAGAAAGTTCCCAGCCCTTCCCCACCCTGCCAAGACTGAAGTACCACAGATACAAACCTCCAGAGGCTATGAGTCTGGATTTTCTGGAGCTAATGGAGTTGGAATGGGTGTGTCCCCCAAGGGAGGCCATAAGCAGGAAGTTCCTGTCATAAGACAGCCTCTCCCTCCAACCCTAGGGTACAACTCCTGGAGACACTTTTGTGGCCTCTCGCAGCCACAAACCCTGGAAGAACTGAGTGCTGTGCTGAAGAATGAGATGCTGGCCAAGAAGTTATTGGATCTCTATGGGACACCTGACAACATTGACATCTGGGTGGGAGCCATTGCTGAGCCCTTGGTGGAAAGGGGCAGGGTGGGGCCTCTCCTGGCCTGCCTCCTGGGCCACCAGTTCCAGCGGATCCGTGATGGAGACAGGCAAGTGACACTTCCACCCCAGCAGGCAGTGGGGATCCCTTCCAGGACACTGTCCCAATGTCCTGCATGAGGACTAACTCCTCAGCATGGGTGCAGCTCCTCATGTTCCCAATGACTTTCTTTGTCAACATGGGGAGGGCCCGGCAGTTGCACCATGTGATGTTTCATTTTGTCTGTGCAGATTCTGGTGGGAAAATACGGGAATCTTCACGGAGAAGCAGCAGAACTCCCTGTGGAAAATGTCCTTCTCACGCCTTGTCTGTGACAACACCCGCATCACCAAGGTCCCGCTGAACCCATTCCAGGCCAACAGCTATCCAGAAGGCTTTGTGGACTGCTCTGATGTTGAGGAGCTGGACCTCTTGCCTTGGGCCTCAGTGGAGGAGTAGAGTCCTGGACTCAAGGACTCCCACACTGCAGTGCACAACTTCCTGTGGTCCGCAATGGCATTTCATGCACGTTCAGTGACGTGCTTTGAACTGTGCATGCTAGGCCCAGCCTTTCTCTCAGCCTTTCATGCACACACCAGATGAATGGCTTGCTCAAATCCTAGGGCAACTAGTTAACTCGCCTTTTCAGTTACTCTGCCTGGCTTCCATCATCCCTGTCCCCCATCTTTCCAGGCCCATAGAAATCCTCCCTTCATTTGAAGACTTAGACCTTCCAACGTGCCCCGCCAGGCCTGTTTGGCCAATGTTTTCCAACCGCTCCCCTAAATAAGACTAGCTGAGGTGCTGGCCTTTGAACTTTTTCTTTCCTCCTGTCCTCCCAGGTTAGAGTGTCAGCTTTTGAGTATGGCCATGGCACTCAGCACAGTGCTGTACATCAAGCACCCAGTAAACATCAATGATTGGCTAAGATGCTGATGATGACCCCGTTTCTTTCTCAAGGCGGGCCTTGGAATCCCCAGCAAATAAGTCTCTAGAGCTTTTCATCCCAGATGTGTCTTCCTCGAAAGATGTGTTCATGTTCTGTGGGAGCAGAGAGTGGTTGGGCAGGAATTCTGAGAGTGAATAGCTGAAGAAGGGAGGGGGTAAGGGCTCCTGGGGACATGAAGCAATGGGGTGGCAAGAGAGAGCAGGAGGGGTGTCAACGGACAAAACAGACAGGAAAAACAAGCATGGACTCCCTACTGCTAAAATTTATTTCTCTTCCTGCCATCTAGGAAACACTCTTCTCTTCCAGGGCAGTGCTTGGGGCTTAACAGACCTCCAAAGGGGCAGCTAAGGAACAATATTTGGGCTGTTCCCCAATATACATCCTATACATTCTTTTCAAATGACCCTATGAGAAGCAGCAGCCCAGATTCCCTGACTGATGGGGTGGGGGTGGGGAGGAGGAGACACTTATTCTATGGCAAGAGCCCAGGGCAGAAGACCAGGCTGCAGCCCACCTCTGGCTCCCACTTCTTCCCAACCTCTGATGCAGCCTTTCTCTCCCTGAGCAGCCCCCTCCTCAGTGAAGTGAGGACAAGGAATGTTTGTCCTGCTGTGCACCATGGTGACACCTGGCTTTCCACAGGGACCCCGAGCACACACTTTGTGGCTTCCAGCTTTGGTGCCCCTCTCCCTTATGCAGAAACATGGGAGGAAGGATGTGGGGAGCCTACCAGCCAGGGGTCCCAGTCAGGCAAGACTGCTAGGGACATGTACTGGCCCTGCCTTCTGAGCCCAGCCTGACCACTTGAAACGTGGCATGAGGAGTTTTCCATCTTAAGCCTCCAAAGCCCTGTGCCAGACTCTGGGGATGCAGGAGCCAGGGGTTTCTGTCATCTGGCCCAGTCCTTCCCATCCGACCTCAGCTCTTTCACTCCCACAGGACAGCGTTTGTCCCCTCTGCTTCCCAGCACCTGACAGAATGAGCATGAGGCAAACCTTTTCCATGGAACGCGCAAACATTAGCCCTTGGTGACCACATCCCTGTACTGCAAGGTGGCAGAGGTCGGAGGTGAGGGATGAGGGACGAGGGTTTGCTCAATATGCAGCCTGATTCTGAATTGACTGCCCTCCGTGTATGGACAAAGGAGGACTCCCTGAAGCCCTGGCCCTGGATCAGGATCATGGGCCCCTGAGACACAGACCACACAGGCTCAAGTTCAGGGCCTTACCCCCTCACAGACAAACAGACAGACAGATAGAAATTCCCATCCTCCGTGCTTTATTATGTAAACATCAGGTACAAACAAATGATACAGAAGGGCTTGTGGCCCTCACTCCTCTCCAGGCAGGCTCCTGTGAAAAAGAGAACAGAGTAAGACAAGGAGACCCATGACTGCGCCCAGCCAGCGAGGCCCAGAACTCAGCCTCACAGCCGAACCGTTAAAAACTCCTTGCTCCAGAGGCCACTGGTTCACTTCTGCTAACCTGGACACAGTCTCTGTGCAAGCTCTCTGAGGGCACAAACAGTATCTGTCCTGCCTTTCTGTGTTTCCCATGCCTAACACCGTGACTGGCACACAGTAGATACCCAATGAATGAAGAACTAGAGGATTCAAGTGGGCCCTCTAAGCAGCCATAGCTGCTGTTTACAAGGAAGAAAACTCAGCTTAGGGAGATTAAGTAGTTTGTCCAAGGTCATGCAGCTCATCAGCTGCAGAGCTGGATGTAAACCTGAGCTGTGCTCACCAATCACCTCTGGTGCCTTCAATACACTTAACGGTCTCTTGAGCAGGCACACACTCACATGAGCGGCACATCACAGATGACCCACACATGCTGTCTTTTATATACCAGGCACACACACAGATGCAAACACATGTAAACACACACACGCATGCACTTGAGTGCATATACATGCACACACACACATATACACGAATGAATGCCCAGCCACTCAACTAGCACTCCGAACAGGGACGGGAGGTCACCGTGGTACCAACTGGCGGCCCAGGTACACCCTTCATGGCTGTGCACTCTTACCCAGCCTCTACGCCTCCTTCCAGGAAGTCAGATTCAATGCAGGGAGAGTGCTGCACTTGACAAAGTCCCGGGGAAAGGAGTTGGACATGAAGATGTTGTTCTTGGATACAGTGGTGATGCCTGTATTGTCGCAGATGATACGGGGCAAGGAGATCTTGGCCAGCGCCTGCCGCTGCTGCTTGCTGAATACATCCTTGTTCTCCCACCAAAACCTGCAAGGGGGCACCACGGACACTGTGCCAGGAAGTCACTGGGCTGGTAGGTACTGGGCCAGTGGGGATCGATCACCTGGCTTGAGCTACTCCCTGTATGCAAGAGGAGTATAGGAAACTCTGCCCTGTGACACAGGAGCACTCCAGGCCATTACAGGGTCCCCTGCACACAACAGAGTAGAGCACGGCTGCCTGGTTACCTCCACTGCTCCAGCCTAGCAGCCTCCCCGTACCCATTCTAGAGGGAGCCAGCTCCACCCTCAGTCATGAAACCCTGTGCCCAGGGCTGCATCCACAGGGGTTGGCCTGCAGGGCCAGCAGAAGCTAGGTAAGAACTAGATATGTAGATGTCAGAACCACAGGAAAGGACACAGAGGGAAGTCATGGGAAAGCTATGTTGAGACTGTTCAGTGGTGACTGACACTTCCATAATTGTTCAAATAAAAGCAGAAAAAGGAAGGTGGCATTTTTCTGTCTTCTGTCCTTCACTGTCAGAGCTCCAATGTCCTCCATGCTGTACGCCCACAGGTTCAGGGCACATTAGGGGTGACATGGAACTTCCTGGGAACACACTGAAAAACCACTGATGGAAATCAGGGTCCCCATAATTTCAGGAATAGTCCACAGCCACCCAATGTGCCTGAGTCACCCATGCCCCTCCTCACCGATCACCATCCCGAAGCTTCCTGAATTGGGTGCCGATGAGGCAGGCGAGGAGCTGGCCCACACGGCCATTGCGCTCCAGGGGCTCGGCCACACCACCCATCCAGATGTCGATGTTGTCGGGCGTGCCATACTGCTGTATCAGCTTCCGTGCCAGGTCCAGGTTTCTCAAAACTGTGCCCAGCTCACCCACCGTACTGGGCTGTGGGAACCCACAGAAACGCCTCCAGGCATTGTACCCTGTGTGCAAAAGGAGACGGGTGGCCATGGACAGGTCTTCCAGCTGTTGCAAGGTGGGGAAGGCAAAGGAACCCTGAACCCTTGGCTCAGACTTAGGGGACAGCTGGGCATCCTTGGACCCTCACTGTCCTTCCCTTACCCTCCCACACAACCCCTGTCATGTCCAAAAGTGGGAGGATCTCATTGTCTCCTAGAGCAACCCAGAGCATCTGTCTGACCCAAGATGGGTAAAGCATATCATGGGGGGCAGACCATAACACAAGCACACGTTGTAGGGTTAGGCTGATCTGGGTCCAAGTTCCAAATTCATCCCTGACTTGGCAAGAACACCTAGCCAGGTTCTGAATGACTGCCAGCCTATTCACTCATCAAGTGGAGGTGATGGTCTCTTCCCCTCAGAGTCTATGAACAGTGAGTCAGGGTGAACCATGGTAGAGAGAGCCTTTGGGGCTGCATGTTACTTTAACTACTGTCATAGCTTGGAGGGTCACAGCTTGCAAAGGAGCCCAGAGAAGCTGGGGTTTCACAGAGGACCCAGGGGGAAGGAGGGGACTGGCCTTAGATAGCTTCCTAGAAGCACAGTGTTGAGGGTCAGGCCCACTCTCACCCCTGTATCCAGGACTGCTTCCACGGAGTAGAGGACAGTTTTGGTCATTTATAAATTGTCCATCCTGGGAGGGACACCTTACAGGCCAGATATGAACCAGACAAGAAGATGCCAAGGTTTTGGGGGCGGGGGGAGTCCTGAGCTGCACGGGGGAATGGAAAGGGTAAGGCCCTCAAGTGGAAAGGGAGCCATGGGCTGCCTGCAGGTTGGGGAGGGGAGACTCCTGCAACCCCTCACCTGGGAGGCCATGGTCCCTGCTGCGCTGCATGTTCAGAGCCGGCAGGTCCAGCCCGATCCTCATCACCTGCTCAAACAGTCGCTCCCGGATCTCATCCACCACAATTTGGTTCTGGCGATTCAGCTTGGCAGGGGTGGCCATGAGGCCTCGGAGAATGGGGTCGATGCCCCCTTCAGGAAAGAGGGACAAGGTTGAAGGGAAGGTTCCCCTCAGTACAGGAGCTCAGACTAGAGCGAAAGCAAGACCATGTGGGGACAGGGGACTTGGAGAAGAGAAGAGGGCTTAGTGCCAAGGTGACCACAGGGAGTAGGTCCTCAGATTATGCCATTCAGACATGCAAAATTGAGATGCTCCCAGTGCCTGGCCTCCCAGATCACAGAGTGTCACAACACAGAGGAAGGACTCAGCTCCCTTTGAGAACCCACCCTCTCCACCCTCACCCCCCTATTTACACTCTGATCTGAAAGCAGATCAGGTACGCTGGGATTGGAAAGTCAAACTAGGTCCCACAGGAAGGAAAGAAGGAAGACCTCTCCACACCCCAGCTGCCTACACCACTTCCACCCCCCACTCCCACCCCCACCCCCGGCTGCCAACCCACTGTCTCCAGGGCCCAAGTCTCACTCACCTTCCAGCACCACCCTCCAAGTGGCAAAAAAGACCTTGCTGAGTGGGACGAGGGGATTGGGCCCTCTGGGCCGGTACTGACTATCCAGGCGGAACGTGAAGGGTTGGATGAGGGTGTGGCCATAGCGAAAGGCATTAGTGAAGACATTGGCAATACGTGGGTCGACCGATTCATTGTAGCCGCGGTATCTGGGCAGGTACTTCCTGAAGGCCGCTGGCCCCAGCACCAGGGGCAGGTAGTCTCGGTAGGTGATGATCTAGAGAGAGTCACTGGAAATGGCCTCTCCACTCACTCTCTGCAGTCTCTGCTTTCTCCTGGCTTGGAGGATCCTTCCCATCCATCTGCGGTGAGG